GGTCGCGTTGTGTGTGTTTACATGTCGTCCTTGTGTGTGTTTACCTCATCCACTTTATTATTCATGTTACATTCTATTGATGATAAATTCCAGTCTGTGTTTATCTCGCTATAACATCTAAGACTTGACTAATGTCTGCTGTATTTTAACTTTTGAATAGGAAAAAGACCCACTGAACCTCCCTCATGATCCTACTCCACCAAAAAAAGCAAACAGCCGTTCCAGATATCTGTAAATCAATACTATTTTTTTTTAATGCCCAAGTGAACGTTGACCAGAGGAAACAAGTACAGTAATATAATATACTCGACTTTTTTATTCTAATTCTGGCCGATATATTTTCGTAAGAAAACTTTTATACAGTTGCTGTTTTTATATAGTTAATGCTTATATAAATACTTACGGTATCGTCAACTGGTGAACTATTATTTTATATTGGTCGATGATATTACACCTTGTGATGGAAATAAACCTTGTTATGGCAGCTATAATCATACATAATATAATTTACGTCCTAAGTTCTATAATTTCCTTGTTGTAAATATATACACTATTACAGGGATCACGTGGAGTTTAATAATCCCCTACCCACTGCTTATTCACCTGATGATTAAACACCTTAACGGTACCTAAGGGAATTTAGGTTAGGTTAGGTTAAGGTAAGTTAATGTTATGTTTGGTTAGGTTAGGTTAGGTTAGGTTAAGGTAAGTTAATGTTATGTTTGGTTAGGTTAGGTTTATTTAGGTTAGGTTGAAGTTTAGTTAGGTTAAGGTTAGGTTAATTTAAGTTAGATTAAGGTTAGATTAGTTTAAGCTAGACTAGGTTAAGGAGGCATAAGGAGATCCCACGTTCGTCTGCAATTTCCATTAACCACTTCACAATTCGACGAGGCTATGCCAAGTATTGTTGATAGTTCGTGCTGGCGGGTTTTTTTTCTCTATAGTAACGGGCTAGGGTTGCTGTACGCCTTGCTGCACTGTTAAATATAGAAGTATGTAACGGTACAGCAAGAGTGTGTTAAGGAGGAAGATAAAAGAGAATATAGAATGTGTAGGTAAATTAACAATAGCGGCTTTGCTGAAGATGTTTACCACTGTGTAAGTTTATGTGGATAGTTTCCCATCGTAAATATGACCGATTATTCCATTGTATTTATTAATCTGTAATTAATTTCCTTGTGGATAAATTTATTTGTTTATTTATTTCTAATCTTTGAAAAATAAAACGATAATCAAGATTCTTTCAAGTCTCAATTGTTCCGTAAAAATGTACGTTTCTGGAATAGAATGACAGTAACATTACAGACGAGTATAGTATTATAATAATAATAATAATAATAATAATAAAAGCGTTTCCCTTGTGACTTAGAATGTCTTAGAACCCGCGCCACACCGCAACATAACTATACAAACGGAAATGAACAAACGCTCATCATCTAATTGGTGGTCCAATTAACAACTCACATTCACAATAGCCAGTGATTTCAACATTCACAACAACAATGCGACTGAAGAACTTTGCTCATCAACATAAAGGCTTTGATCATCCAACAAGTGTAGCGAACTGAGGACGGAACGACGCATAGAAAAGTGGTAAGACTTTGTTAACTGTTATGTGGAGAGTTGAAGTGTGTGGCTGTGAGAAACCTGGACACTTAGGATTATAAAACACAAGGATAGGTTTTGAAATGGTAAGAATGAGAGAGGAGGGTGACAAACTGTGCATTTCTGGCAAAGGACTGGAGAATGAAGTGTGGTAACGATGACAGTGAAGAACTGGATGGGTCGTGTGTTGAGGTGTAGGGGTAGCGAGGTGGTATGGGATGTCATGAAGGGAAGAATTAATGAGAAGTTAAGACGAGGATGACGGAGAACTGTATCTTGTTGAATGAACCGTTGGAGAGAAAGACAATCATGCGTAGTAGTGTAAGAGAAGGCAAAAACAAGAATAAAATTCCCAAATAAAATAAAACTGGGTGGATAAATTAGATTCCAAGAACCTTTTTGAAGGGTGGAAGAGTAATAGTATCGATGATCAAGCCAAACGGACAACATTCCTACGAGGTTCCATGCAAAAATGTACGATGGACATTCCCTTGATCCCTCAACTGACTCTCAATTGTCTCTCCTCTTGGCTCTTGTGACCATTGCTGCGTCTCTGCTACTATAGTTCTTTAGTCGAGTCAGAGTCCGTCCAACGAAAACACGTAAGTGCAAATGTACGTACATAAATATTGGATAAAAGTAGTTGAATATGATTACGATGAGGTCAACTGAGAGGGATTTTAGGATTTATTCAGGTTAGGTTAAGTGAGGACCACAGGTTTAATATTACCTCATATTTCAGAACCAAGATCTACTATACTGTACGTATTAACAGTTAACATACATTTAAATAAGAGTGTGTGAGTGTGTTGTGATAATTCGTCTCTTCGACTCGATACGGAGAGAGAGAGAGAGAGAGAGAGAGAGAGAGAGAGAGAGAGAGAGAGAGAGCCTATCAAAACAAAATAAAATGTCCTAAGCATTGCATATTTGTAGGGATATTTCAACACTTATTATGCTATAGTTCTTTCTACAGACAATACTTATGCATTCAGTATCGACATTAGCAGGGGAAACAGAGTTGGTGCTTGTTTTATTGGATCACCTGAATATTAGACACCCTATTTCACCTGAAGATTAGACAGTCTTGCTTGTTTTCTTGAACATTAACCAATCTAATCCTACCTGGGGGGGGGGGTTAAGTTAAATTAGGTTAGCGTTTGGGTGATTGGTTATTATAATTATGATTGTTATTTTCAGTAGTAGTAGTAGTAGTAATAGTAAAAGTAGTATCATTATTATTATTACTGTATTATTATTGATCAACAGAAACATTATAAACATTAAATAGAAATGCAATATTCAAGCCGCAATGACTTTAGCCTTCTCACCCCCTAAAAAGACACACTTAAGATGTACTTGTGATAATACGTCTTTACGACATCACTGAATCCTTGAAGGTGTCGAAACAGCTTACTTGCAAGACAGTGAATAGTTGCCGTAGTTGTTGATAAATTTATTCACGTATTCTCAGATTGATGAATTCAGCAGTGATGAGGCAATGACGGCTTAAGTGTGTGTGTGTGTGTGCGTCCCAGATGTCTACAGTAAGCACATTCCTTGCTCAGTGTGTATGATAATTTTAGCAGTCATAAGAGATGGGAAGAAATATGACGAGAAAATGAGAGAGAGACGGGAAGCGAAAGAGAGAGTGAACCAAATAGAGGCGAAGAGACGGAAGGGCTCTGTATTTATTTATCAAGCGCTGAACGGGATTCCAAAACTGCACGTAAGGTTAGATTTTTTACTTATCTATTTCGCTTAGGTTAATTAATAGACAAATATCGATTCTTAAAAGTTATGAAGAAAATGAACTTCTTTCCTTACTGGAGATACAATAATATATTTATCAGTTTCACTTAAATTATCGCACAAAAGTAAATTCTTGAAGGTTTTTACGCCGTGGGAGAGACTGCAGTGCGTGGGAAAACTTTCTAGGTATGGGAGAGGTTCTTAGGGCGTGGGAGAGGTTCTCATGGTTTTGGAAAATCTCTACAGTGCTTGGGAGGGGTTCATCAGGCTTTGCAGAGGCTTGGTTGGTTGAGAGCGTTGAAGTCACTATGGCACGGTGGTAGGAAGGTGGTCACTAGGTCAGTCCGAGAGGCAGCTCTGGTGACCGGTTCTTATACAGCCCCGACGAGAAGTGACTGTCTGTGTAGGTGTGCAGTGAGAAGTGGTGCTTGTTACAGTGAGGAATGGTGCTTGTTACAGTGAGGAATGGTGCTTGTTACAGTGAGAAGTGGTGCTTGTTACAGTGAGAAGTGGCGCTTGTTACAGTGAGGAGTGGCGCTTGTTACAGTGAGAAGTGGGGCTTGTTACAGTGAGGAATGGCGCTTGTTACAGTGAGGAGTGGCGCTTGTTACAGTGAGAAGTGGTGCTTGTTACAGTGAGAAGTGGTGCTTGTTACAGTGAGGAATGGTGCTTGTTACAGTGAGGAATGGTGCTTGTTACAGTGAGGAATGGTGCTTGTTACAGTGAGGAATGGTGCTTGTTACAGTGAGGAATGGTGCTTGTTACAGTGAGGAGTGGCGCTTGTTACAGTGAGGAGTGGCGCTTGTTACAGTGAGGAGTGGCGCTTGTTACAGTGAGGAATGGTGCTTTACAGTGAGAGTGACGCTTGTTACAGTGCACAGTGAGAGTGGCGCTTGTTACAGTGAGAAGTGGTGCTTGTTACAGTGAGGAGTGGCGCTTGTTAGAGTGAGGAATGGCGCTTGTTACAGTGAGGAATGGTGCTTGTTACAGTGAGGAGTGGCGCTTGTTACAGTGAGGAATGGCGCTTGTTACAGTGAGGAATGGCGCTTGTTACAGTGAGGAATGGCGCTTGTTACAGTGAGGAGTGGCGCTTGTTACAGTGAGGAATGGCGCTTGTTACAGTGAGGAGTGGCGCTTGTTACAGTGAGGAGGAACGCCTGGTAGTGTGGAGTAACAGATAGTGAGAACACTTAAGCCACGTCATCCTCCTCCGAGTGTGATTACTAAGATCAAGCGGTGGAGTCTTGGGCTCAACTCTCACGTTTTGGATCACGTGAAGGTTAGCCCCTCAGCCCCTTAGCTTATTTCACCTTAGGATTAACCAGTCTAGTGTTAACGTTAGGGTTTTTAATCGTCAGGTGAAATAAGTTGGGTGGCTAATCTTCACGCGATCCATAAATTGTTTTTAGGAACTGCCAGTGACCGTGAAGAGGTGCTCCGGGAACCTGTAAACACTGGCCTTCGGTATCTCAAAAAGGCGTATTGTAGAGCCTTGTTTTTATGAATTTTTATAAACATGTTTTTTTTTTCATAACACATAATTATGTTCTCTTGTATTGTATATGACCAGACTTCTAATTGATTGAAACAACTTAATCTCGACAGCTATGACGTGATTAGTGAGCGCTTCACAGCCACACAAACGCTCCAGCTTGGAAAAAGTGTAGAAAGTTGGTAGTGCCTCCCCCTGCACGACCCTCTCCACTACTGCCGTCGGGGATAGTGAAGTGATCTTTTCGTTGGCTAGCTCAACGCATATAATCGACTGACCCCTGTCACTTTTTTGCTGGAACAAGAGAAAGGGTCAACTGTTGTGACGTCACTTGAGCTGTGTGGCCTGATTGGCTGGCGGTGTGAGGGGGCGTGGCCCACCCGATACCTCAATAGTCAGTCACCTCCCCCTCAGTTGAAGTGGAGGAGTGTTAGAGGAAGGTGGTCATTAATTGTGCTCTTCCTGACGTCCTGACTTGGACGACTGGACCACTTGCTTGGGATAACTTCAGTGCTTACGCGTGTTCTCACAAGAGCAAAGTGTGAAGGCATTCCAAAAACGAACAACAGCCAAGATGACGGATTTAGAAGTGAGCGAGGTACGAGGGTGGTACAGGAACAAGACTGTATTTATAACTGGAGGCACAGGATTTGTAGGAAAGGCACTTGTTGAAAAAATACTTCGAACCTGTCCTGTTAGGAGGATCTACCTACTGATGCGCCCCAAGAGAGGCGTCGACATACACCAGCGCCTCGACGACATGTTCAATTATAAGGTAAGTTAAACTAACTCTTTGCAAGTAAAGTATGGCACGTGAAGACGATTAACAATATATCCTGACCATCCCGAAACTCGCCGAATTTTAGCAAGTGCTGCAGGCGTAAGGTAAAATTGGAGGCCAGGGTTATGGGGGTTAAACAGATCCACACCTTAGTTAGGGGGCTGTGTTCCTGTGGCAGGCTCTTACAAGGGTTTTACACAAGTCGCCAGAACGGTCCTGAAAAGCGGCGGAAGACTCTCACCGCTGAAAGTGGTAGCGTGGTGCAGGTGGTGAGCGGCTGACCTAGTAACGCAACAGCTCGGGGTATGATGGTCTAGCTAGGCTGTCTGCACATCGCAACCATAATTTAGGCTTTACCTTCTACCAAAGGTAAAGCGGAGTTATTACGTTACTTTGCCCTGCCTACTGTTTATGGATTCATTTCTGCATCGGTGTTAAACGGTACAGGATCAATCACTTGGACTGCATGTTAGTTATATCAAACAGAGGCGATGTAGACTGCACAGCCTTCTCGCCGTGTGCATGTGATCGCTCGATTTACTTTTACAGGGGGTGAGTGCATGTGTTGAATCTTACCTATATATGACTTCCAACCATCGTATCAAACAGTATATATATATGTTACGGTTTCCTGTGTAAGTTGAGATAGAGAAGGTAAGACGTCCATTTAGTTATATTCCTACACATTTTTCGCGAAAGTATCTTATCAAAGTTACCTGTATGTACACCCATACTGAATTATTAATTTTTTTTAGAACTTGCATCCGCTTTGGAATATATGGATGGATTTAGCTTGGTGGATACGTGGTTATGTTTTGGATGCGTATAATGTGCACGGATGTAACAAGTGAGATAGAGGTGTCGACTACGACCGTCTGGCTGATGCGAGAACATCACCCGTGAGATGCAACCCTAAACACGATGCTGCTGCAGGTGAAAGTGATGACCAGACAGGAATAAAAAGTGTTGGGACGTGGTTGGTTCCTTTCGTTTTTTTTTTTAATGCTAAACATCTACTTCTTAACAATCTTTAAGAACGCCGTAGTGAAATAGAAGTCGATACGCGTAATCGAGGAATCATTGCCAAAATATTACAGGATAAACTCTCCAAACATAAACTAATTGAAAAAATAGACTAAGGTCGTTAGGTTGTTCGTATCTTTATTTGGGTCATTTTCCAGGATCGTGCGTAACATAAATATGTGGTAGTTATGTTTACAAAAGTGTATTTTCAGTGATAAATTTATATACTTTGAAATTAAGAGTACCAGCCAATTAGTTATGGGAATCAGAAGACGGCTTCAGCGGCGTCTAGGCTTTAAAAACTATGATCATTAAACACGTATTTTAAGTTATTATTTACGCTTAACACCAAGACTTTCAAGACAGACTCAAGCTGGTTTGTATGGTGTTTATCGAACTACTGTACTGTAAAATTTAAAGTTATTAAAAACCTTCACTTTACAATACTCGCCATTAAATACAATAATAAGGTAACGATATATTGCCAGACAACATGAGCTTAAAATAACTTAACGGGGGTATTGTAGCGCCATTTAGGTTGGCTTAATGGAGCTTGTCAGTCGCTCTTAAAATGGTGCGCCACAAAAACTACATTGGAGACCCAGCTACGCTTTTGTTTATTTTGGTGAAACTCCCGTAGGTTGATAATTACGTTACGTCTTACCTACTTTAGAATGTCGTCCGCGTTATCCCTCCTGGCTGGTGATGGCTATACTTGACCAGTTTACCTCGTTTGTAGGATTGTTTTTTGTTTTTTTAATTAAACCTGCCATTACTCTTCGTTTCTTCAGGAGGATGCAGTCACGGTTATGGTGGGGTTTGAATCCTAGTCTGAGGGTTCCCATGCATGCTCAGCTCGACCTGTAAGTCCAAATAGGTTCCTAATTCGGCAAAATTACATTTGCTTTTTTTTCGTAATTTTCAGTAATTTGTTTTGGGTAAGTTTGTTTTTGGAGCTCTTGTGTAATTTTACGATATAAACTAGGAAATACAAAACAAATGACATTACATGCAAACATTACATGCACTTGGGAGCTGCTTGTCTGTCATACTTAACATTTTAACGACAGGCTTTCTTGGTTGTGTTTTTGTCTTGGGGCAGGTTTAAGTTGCTCTTTTACGAAGACATTTAACTACTTCAACTTGACACAGACGAACTGGAACGGTGAGAACAAACTCAAGTGTTGACATTTACACCGGATGAACTCTGTCTCCTCCCCTCCCCCTCCCGACAGTTTACACTCGACAAGATACTTTGGCCCATACCTCTGTAACATTTCTAGTCTATGTAACACGCACAGTTAACTTAAAAAACTTTATACAACACGTGAAAAATAATGCAACGTACACGACCACACACTAGGGTACTGTACAACGAAGGTGAGATCTATACATTGGCAACCTTGGACACACTAAGTCGACAGATGTAGACATAACTTATAAACAACAGAAAAACACCCGTTATCACAATGAGAGTTTAAGAGTAGAAGTAGTGTATTAATGCAAGCTAACAACTTATATTCAGACACTTTCAGACCCATTATATAAAAACGCTGTCTCGGTAGCAACACCTAAAATACTGTACACTCGGTGGGCCTGGCAGACAGCTCACCTCCAGCATCTGCCATCACACACCCCCTTGAATCCACCCTTACTTACACAGCCCCATCGTTACTTAGTTCTTTTACGCATCATAGCCAGAAATTTAAGGTTCCAAGTAGTACAAATGAAAAGAACTGGGAGTTATTTAGGGGTGTGTATGTTATCCGCGCATCTGGCAACAGTGTAAGGTGCATATCGTAGTGAGGAAGCTGGCATAAACTCTCGCTCAAGCCCAGATGTTGTAATGTGGCAACTTTCCTTACCTTATTAGTTATTATGCCCTAGTTTATTCACTCATGTGCGTGTGCTTGTCGCCCTGTATTAACGTAACTTCTTCCGTGAGATATCAGATTTTTTTTAGATGAGAATGTTAAAATATTTCCTGCTTTACGAGTTATTATTATTACCAAAGAGGTTGTGACAGTCAGCGTTTATTGCCAAGTGTTGAGTCAGGCAGTATTTTCATCATAGTCACCAGTAGTTGAGGAGAAGAAGTATATGTAAGTGAATGCAAAACCCGAGTTATTCTCAGCGCAACCCACACCTATCATATCGCGTGTTATGATGGTGCCGGCAGCGCGTTGTGAACCTCTCCATCGTGAAATGGCATCTCGCATCACTCATTTAAGTCAGGAACTGAGAATGACGTAGCAGAATGTTAGTTTAGGGAACACTTCCTTGTTACACGACTGCTGAGCTAAGTCAAGGCAAACCGCCAAACTCTTACCTGACTGCTTAACATGACCTGACCTATTCACTCGAGCTGATTTGCCGTCCAAGTCTGATTACACGTTTATATCCCCACTGGTTAACTGGTGTCTAGGGACGCTTGATTCAGACGCCCGCACAGATGGTTGTTTTCTCATTAAAGCAGACTTTACATGGTCGTATTTATCTGACTTCGTTCATCTCGACTCCAGGTTGTTAAATACTTCTCGTCTGATACATGTTAATAACCACACAAACTACTTGGCTCTTTTGTGAAGTTTATCTTTGTTTAACGAGGTTACGTTGATTAACGATCTTGTTTACCTGCTTTCATCCTCCGCAATTTTTATAATTAAATTTATTATATTGTGGTATGTAGTTTTTGTCTCGTAGCTCGTGTCAGTTAGTGTAGGAATATAAATGGTGTATAAACAAGTGTTACATAAGGATAAAGCCAGGGTCAACGTCTTCCAGTTGCAGGGTCACTAGCCAATAGGGGGAGGGGTGGGGATTGCTCCGGTAGAGATGAAACACCTGACCTGAGTTGAATACTCGAGGAACTTGTGTATGAAATTAAGGTAGGGCAGAGCATACCACAGCACGGAGGGGATGCTCAGAGTCCACGTGCCTCGGGCAGAGAATTAGTTTGCATATTGTTTGTGTCATGGTGGGCGTTTGCCGTCTTAGGGAGGGATACGACACAGTTCATGATATTTTGCAGGTTGTCATTCTTCTAGTTAACTTTATAAATGTAAATATAACGTTTATCTGTTTTGATTTTACAAAAAGATGGTAGAGAGGCAGCGTTATGGGGTGGGATAGTCTACTCCCGTCTCGTTGCCAAGTCACCGGTTTGTCTTCCCCCTATCCTAGCAACTGGGTGGTCCCCTTCACGATCCTAGCCATCCCTCACCCCCGTCCTTATCGTCCACACCACCATTCTCTCCCTTGCGAACTGATTATTCCCCGTCACTGAACTCGAGTGGGAAGTGGTTTCTGTCTCCTGCATAACTTAATGAGGGGAGTTGTTATATAAGACGCCAGTGTGTAGTCCTCCTCATTATACGTTATCCCTCCGTCTCCCAGCGTGGCCAGAGGCTAGTCCTTTATCCAGTTCCCAGTAGGGATGACTGAAGCGTACAGTAACCTCGCCGCCACCGGGGTTATTACTAGTACCTTTCCCGCCGCGGTCCCTCCCCATTTCTCTACCTTAGCAACTCGGCGGTTGGTTGTCCCAGTCTCTCCAGAACTTCTGATTATTTTACCCTTTTCTCTATCCTCTTTACTCACGTTTGTCTTTTCTACTATTCCCCCATTCACGGCCGCCTTCCCCTAGCTACCCACCTCTATGCTCGTCTCTCCCTGTACCCCAGTGAACAGGCCATCCTGGAGGTGGGACGTGGCCCCCTGCACCAAGGTGAAGCAACAGGTGGTCGTGTTTAAGGTTCCCTGCACCTGTCTGGTTCACGGTCACTGAACTTGGTAGCCCATTATTATTCCCTATTTGTCTTAAGTGACCGGAGTACTCAAGGGTTACGGTCATGTTTACTTTACGTAATTTTATCCGATCCAGGAGGTCAGATGGCTGTGGTCACCTGTTTTGACATTTGGTGTTTCTTGTCTGTAGAGGAAATACTGAGAAGGTATTCCCTGTTTTTCTT